CCATACAACTCAACCAGTTCCAAAGCAGCTTTCAGCTAGTCATCTTAACATAACAGTAACAGAGTTGAAAGGGACGTTGGAGGTCATCTAGCCCAACCCCCTGCTCACACAGGAGACCTATATTAGGGATTCAAACCGCCGAACTGCTGACCTTTCTCATCGACAAGCTCAGCGTCTTAGCCACTGAGCCACCTACCACCTTGTTTCTTTCTTTTTTTAAGTTATTTGTATTCATAATCTACTCTAGTTTATGATTAAACGCTTATCCTTGAAAACAATTCAATAAATATTTTAAAAGGAATTGACAAGTAATAAAAAGAGAAATAACAAATGTGACATTTGTCACCGCTGGGCAGTTCTACTACATGGAACTTATGTTTGTAAGGTTTGGAATATCAAGTCTGGCTTGAACTCAGCTGTGGGACCTACCAATATCATTACATAAGACTATTTCTTCTTTCTTTGTTTTCTTTTTAAAATCGCTTTTATTAAAAATTACTTATAAAATTAAGAGTATGTGCTGTTCAGTAGCTTTTTCACAACTGGAAAAAGAATGCTGAAGCAGATGGGCTGGAGATGATTCAAGAATCCCATGCCAAATTTGTTCACCATTTTAAGGCTTTACAGAAACCATCTGGTGTGCTGCCTTTTTAAGACTAGTGATCAAACATTGGAAGGCAAATTTTAGCTGATAGATGAGGGCTGCCTAGTGCCATTGAGCTAAGGAAAAAAAGGTCATGAAGTTAATGTGCTAATGTACATGAAAGGTTTAGATGAGTCCTAGGAATAACCAGTGTGAACAACTTTTAGACCTTGTCCTTCCCGGGGTTTCGTTTAAGAAAAGGCATCAACATTGCTACTTGATTTGAGTAGTGAATTGCGTTATTTTCTATTTGTTCCACAGTAACTAAATCTTGTTTCTTTCTTCTGTTGAATTTAACCACACAACTTGTATACTGTAGCTAGCCAAGAGCTTAAAAAGGGAAGTAAATGTCTGTTTAATATTGTTCTGTAGAACGGAGCACTCTTAAATGTTTATGTTTGGGACTGGAAGGCAAGCCTTGTTATTGGATTTCATATAACTAAAGCTATTACAGTTTCTACTACTACTTAAATAGAATTTCTGGACCTCAAGAACAATGTGCATCCTAGCAGCTTAAACGACTCATTTTCCACCCTTAGTATTACATGAACTGCACATATATAATTTTTCAATTTCTTAGATTCACAAAGTCTTGCCTCCTCCCCAACATGCTTCATGTTCATGCCAGCTTTTCAAACTTTTGGTCTAACTTTGTTATATTAAATATATTTATTTCTTGTTTCTTTCCAGACCTATTTTGTTACAGTAAAGGAAGACAGTGTAATAACTAAGTCAGACAATATTGATCCATCTTTGGTTGGTGTTAATCATTTTTTACCTTAAAAAAAATATTGCATCAAATTGTATCCAAGGTAGAGTTATATCTCTTTTCAGCCGTGCAAAATGTTGCATTGAAAAGAAGCAATTATAGCATGTATTTATATATGATGACATATTTATAAGATTCATAAGCCAACTCATTCCAGAGACTCTGTGGAGTGTACAAAATCAAAGAAATACAATTATAAACAGTAACAAACAATAATGGTGCAGATCTTCTTATCTTCAAAGGATTTCCATAAATGCAAGTTTTAACTATTCTCTGGAAGGCCCTAAGAGTGAGGAGCATTCTTGCTGTTCAAAAGGAGGGGAACACTGATAAAAAAAATGATCACTTCCATGCAGCTACATTGGGCAATCAGATGTATAAGATAGATAGAAGAACTCCATCATGAAGATACATAACAAATTCACATGTGTGAGTGTCTCAAGCAGAAATGAAACTTTTTAACATTCTTGGATGGAAAGGAGCAAGACCTATAGTGAAAAAAATATATTTCAGTGCAGGAACTGGAGTAGTTGTATGAAGTGAAGATAATCACAGATTTCTAATTCAATTGGCCAGTGCTCATTGACCTACTTTAAATATTTTGGTAGTATAAATGTTTTGCTTTATCATTTACAGTGTCTGCTAGTAAGAAAACAGATTATCTGGAAGTAGTAAATGAAAATGGTTTATAAGCCAGGCTGTCTTTTAAGTTAAGAAAAAGTCTCCAAGTTAAGCTTCTCTCCTAATAATTTTGCAGACATAGGTATGAGTTTACTTGGCACAATACAATGTAGTTTGCCATTTTCCATTTGTTTTGTTTTTTCAATTTCTAGTACAGTCTACAGCTCCTGATGATTTCCTATATAAGTCCTAGCCATTCTGATACTGCTTAGCTTTTTGAGATCAGCCAAAAGTTGACAAACAGTTGGTATTTAGCTTAGTTTTTAGGTTAGTAATCCAGCTAAGCAATTTTCAGTTATGGTGTATCCATAGTATACCAGAGAGGAATGATTCTGCAGTGATTGGTTTTCTTAATTGACTACATTTCAAGCTTGTATGAGGGGAATAAAATGTGAATGAAGCTTGCTTTATTGTTCATTACAGGTCACAGATGCATTGAACATATCAAAATAAAAGACAATAAACTACTAAAATGGCATAGGGACAATTGCAACAGCACTTCATATAACCAGTAAGAGCAATCCCAAATTAATTTACTGTTAGCAAAGCATAAGTTCTCCAGCTACAGATGCAAACAGTAGGGTTGTTTGGGGACTTTGGTCTGCCAAGAGGAGCTTCACTTAAAATTCATATGAACAACTAGGGAATGGCTTAATGAGCCATGTTAGCAGCTCTACAAATATCTCTATTAAAAAAAATCGTAGCAGACCAAAATGTGGTTCATTTATTCAGTATTCCCAGACTGACAGAGTAAATGCTTTCTACATTAAGGGTTTTCTGGAATCTGTTTTCCAATATGGTTGATGATAACTTTCAAACTAGAGTAATGAGAAAACCTTGTAGGATTGTCCCTGGTACAAAAAGTGTAGGCAACCAAGGGAAGGAAGGAATTTGTGGGCATGCCCAGTATGCCCAATGAGTGAAGGAATGAATTTTTGTGCATGTTCAACACATATAAAATGTTGCGAAGTCTCATCCTTGCTGGAGACTTGGAGATGGCACAGGAATGAGCAAATATTTTCCCTGGTTTGTGGGTTTAAAGAATGGTTAAGTGGTAAAAGGGATGCTTGAAAGAACCGCAGAGACTTACAGCGTCCACTTTACTCCTTAAAATCTGATTCAAAAGATGCAGCCCAATTTAGAAGGTTGGCATTATTTTATGAGTGTACCTGGGAGGAAGTCACACTTCTTCTTCTGCCTTGCCTGGGTAATTATGTCCTCTAACAAGTTGCAGATATTGGCCTAGCTGGTTCAAATTCCACTTGCAAAACAAGCAGTTAATTAAATAAAACCTAAAATGTCATATACAGACATTTAAAGTATTCTGAGCTGCACGTCCAATTATTTGATATCAAATATCTAATATATCAAATGACACAGCCAAGACCAACCAGATCACACACCACCTCATTTGTGGCCTAATATTGGGAGAGGTGGGAAATAGGAATTTAAAGCTTTTTGAAAGGCTAACAGAGTTGGGAACATTTGAAATCCATTGCAGAGGGGAAATTGCCAAAGGAGGGGCACTGCCCCAAAAATGGCACAAATCCTATATCCCATTAAATGGCATTGCCTTATGGAAGAGATCGAGAATATGCCCACCTTGTGAGAGCAAATGGGATAGGCAGAAATAATTGAAGATAGACAATTGTGTGAATAATCTTGTCCATTATCATGTGATGTACAGATTTATAAGCAATAACTTTGTTGGTTCAACTCAGCCTTTTATCCATGACAAAGGCATTCCTTTTTCAACCCATTTCTGGTTGAAAAAGATCTCAGTATTACTTGAATATAAAAATAATGCTGGAATTGTTTTGGTTCAGAGTATCTTTTTTTGCAATTAAAAAAATTCATATTCCAAATGATCATGCCAAGAAATTAAAATGTGTGTCTGATTGGTTTTGACTAAAGGGAGGGCATCAAGAAACGTATTTCAAAAGATATGATAATGACAGATACAGAATATTTATCTAAATATCCTATTAGCAGAGTGGAAGGTGGAAACTGAACAACAGCAAAAACCTGAAAACTGATAGCTCCTTCAGCCCCTCCCTCTCCAAACACTTTGAAGGCAAAACTGTGCTGAGAATTGATTATTGTTGAAATAACCTAAAGCAGAAGAAAACATCCAAATAATATGGTGAATTGTCTAGGCTTTCAAGCTATTACCACATCTGCTATGACTGCTATCGCGTTCTATTGTCAAGTGCAAATATCTGGAACAATCCTTCAAGCAGCAGTCAAAATCTCTAAACCCATGAAGAGACAATGTGTGAGCCTTAGCCATTTTGGACAGAGACATTGAGACACATTGGGACTGGAGGGTTTTGATTTCTAAACTAAAAGGAATAACTGTTGGGCACGTCTAGCCCAAACTATAACAATACTATTGTTTCAGTCTAACTCAAAGACAATCTAATGTGCTTTGAACGTATTAATAGTTTTGAAACAAATTATTATTTTTGTTAAAAATTACAAGGACTGTAAGATGATTTGCCTTGACTTTAACACAACATTTTTCCTGTGTTCATAGGAGGAAAGATAATCTCTTTAGTTATTCTTGTATTTGAATGAGCATCTTAACACCTCGTTACAATATTTCAGAAGCAGCAAGGAGTCCAGCTCAGTTGTGAAAATGTTACTGAAATGCAACTTTATTTTGGAGAAGAAATAACTGAGTGAAATTCGTTATTGTTGTGGTTGTTTATTCAGTGATTCCAGGTTTTTTGTATATAATTTTTATATAGTTATGCGTGTATACAAATATCAGATATATGTATGTTTTACATAACTGATTTGTTCATTTTGCATATTTTATGAAATAAAATGTATATCTTATATAAATATCATTTCTGCCTACCCATTTAAATTATTTCTTTCTTTCTCTTTCTCTCTTTTCTTTAGATTATGATTGAGTTTTGTCCTGGTGGAGCTGTAGATGCTACTATGCTAGGTAAATACAATGAAGTTTCATATTGTCAACCTTTGGAGTATGTTGATAAATAAATAGGTACTAATCTCTGCATATAAAGTAGATCATCCCATATCATATAGATTATTACAGCTTGTGCATAAAACATTCCCATAATAAGGTTCCCCTCGCACATATGTGCCAGTCGTTCCTAACTCTAGGGGGTGGTGCTTATCTCCGTTTCAAAGCCAAAGAGCCAGCGCTGTCTGAAGATATCTCCATGGTCATGTGGCCAGCATGACTAAATACCAAAGGTGTACAGAACACTGTTACCTTCCCACCAAAAGTGGTCCCTATTTTTCTACTTGCATTTTTTACATGCTTTCAAACTGCTAGGTTGGCAGAAGCTGGGACAAGTAACGGGAGCTCACCCCATTACGTGGCACTAGGGATTCAAACCACTGAACTGCCGACCTTTCGATCGACAAGCTCAGCGTCTTAGCCATTGAGCCACCACGTCTCTTATTCCCATAATAGCCTGACAATAATCATACAGGAAATTCAGTAGTAGGAAGATATATGCCATTATAAAGAAAGCTTATTTTCACAGCTTTCCTTAAAATACAACAAATCAGGCAAACCGATTAATGTGCTTTATTTTTGAGATCAATCTGGGAGTTGTGGCTTCATCATGAAGAGTGAGAGGTGGCCAATGGTGAAAAAAGATAGAGCAAATCTATTTTTTTAAAAAAAGGTTCTTCTAGTGATGAGGTTTAATTTGCTACAGCTGATAATCTTCCTGATAGGAAAGAAAGAGTTTTGTGTTCTTCAGAATTTTAATTGCACAGGTTTATTTTTTTCCCCCACAAATCACTTCCAGGACTGAAAAGGTGCTTTTAGAAGAAAGCCAAGTGAAAGAATCAAGCAATATTTCAAATTAAAACTAAAAGTTCAGCTGCCGCCCTTAAGGCAGGGAGTAATGAAGTTCTGCTTGCTTGGGCATAGAAGTTGCAGATCTAAAGCGAGGGTCCTCAAACTATGGTCCCCAGGCCACATGCGGGCCGCCGAAGCCATTGATCCAGCCCATGCAGGACCACAAGGCTGCCCTGCCCACATCTCCCTGCCCACCCACCAGCCCCCATCCTTCACATGAGTGCAAGACTTACCTTCGCGAGCCCCGCAGGCTGGAACTGGAAGGTAAGGCCAACAATTTTGGCCTGCAGAGATGTTTTGGAGGCGGGGAGGTGAAAAATGGGCCTATTTTAGCTTGTTTTTGGCCAAAAAATGGGCCATTTTAGCCAGTTTTTGGCCTGCAGAATGCTTCTGGAGGTAGAAAAGTGAAAAATGGGGCACACAGACATCCCGGGAGGCCAAAAACAGGCCATTTTAGCCTGGTTTTGGCCTGCAAAATGCTTCTGGAGGTGGGGGAGGTGAAAAATGGGCCCGTTTTTCACCTCCCCCACCTCCAGAAGATAGACAGAGAAAGAGAAAGAGAGACAGAGAGAGACAGAGACAGAGGGAGAGGGAGAGAGAGACGGAGAGAGAGAGAGAGACAGAGACTTGTTGATTGTAAGCTCCTTGGGGTTGAGAACAATTGCTGTAAAACTGAGTTTCCTGAAGTGGACCACTAGACTCCTAAACAACTGAAAAAATGATCTAGTAAAAAGAAAAGTCAACCAAAAGAGCAACATGCAAACAAAAGCAAATAAAACACCCCCAGGAGCAAAACAAATTAAAGTTTAATTTGTGTGCATTGTTAAATTGACCACGCCCACATGTCACATGACCTAGCCACACCCAGTCACATGACCACCTAGCCACCGCCCAACTAGCCGGTCCGGGCCCCCAACAGTCTGAGGCACCGTGAATTGGCCCCCTGTTTAAAAAGTTTGAGGACCGCTGATCTAAAGAAAGAGGGGGGAACTTTAATATGCAATTAATCATTATATAGCACTGATTCTGATCATGGGCAATGAATCCCAACTGTGCCCTTTAGTTTCATGATGAGCCTATCCTTTGGTCACTGCAAACCTTGTAGACAACTTCAGCTTGGAGAGGACTTGAAATCTCGAAAAACTATCTCAGAGCCAAGTGTTGCTATCTCTGGAAACATTTTGAAGAAATATAATGCTGACAAAGAGAACATTCCCCCTATCCCTTCAACCATGTCTGCCCTTAAAATGAATCCAACATCTCTACTGGAAGTGGACAAAAAGAAACCAGCGCTGAAATGGGAGCTTTTTTTCCTTTGTTTAAAATGTTTTGCTGCTGAAAGAATGGCTGTCCTATTTAACAGCTCCCTCTTGGATTAGCCCGATTTGACATTCATATGGGGCCATGCTACTTAATGCAAAAAATAGGGAATATTCTTAAATGTCTTATCTATTAAGTTTTAGCAAAAATAAAAAATAAGGAAACTAATTTCTATTACAATAACTGTGAGTCAAGGCTTTATTATTAGTCATCAGTAATAATTGTGCCTTGGAGAATTATATATTTATGTATATAAATATCCTTATCTCTTCCTCCAATGAACAGGCATCTCTTGGTGTGCTAAACAGCCCTGTTGGCTTTCAGCCTTAAGGCCAGGGTTTTTTTTCCCCTTCCTGGGCAGTGGGCCAGAGTTTTGGATGGGTCTGTCCTACAAAACTTTCGGAATTTGGCATATATGTGGTTGGCCTTGATTATTCTGTATTGTGGTATGTGTTTGTGTGTTGACTGTTTTGTGATTCTTAGATTCTATGTTTTTAACCCATGTAAGAAAGTGGCTAAAATGCTGAGCTTGTCGGTTGAAAGGTCGGCAGTTCAATGGTTCTAATCCCTAGTGCCGCATAACAGGGTGAGCTCCCGTTACTTGTCCCAGCTTCTGCCAACCTAGCGGTTCAAAAGCACGTAAAAAATGCAAGTAGAAAAATAGGGACCACCTTTGGTGGGAAGGTAATAGAGTTCCGTGCGCCTTTGGCGTTTAGTCATGCCGGCCACATGACCATGGAGACATCTGCAGACAGCGCTGGCTCTTCGTCTTTGAAACGGAGATGAGCACCATCCCCTAGAGTCGGGAACAACTAGCACATATGTGCAAGGGGAACCTTTACCTTTAAGAAAGAAAAAGTTGGTGTTTGCAAGTTGGGCAGCCATATGAATCTTTTAAAGAAATAAAGTCGGTACAAATGTTTGATAAAACAGCAGTGCTCTAAAATCAATTACAAAAAATATATCAAGTCAGCAGGAAATTGCATCTTCTAAAGTTTATGTTGCCTGTAGAAAGAATGCTTTTCTGAAGACTGACTTTTGCTTAGTACCTCTTATACCCATTCCTGCTGTGATGGTTCAGAAGACCAGCAAGATTTATGGTTATGAATTTGACCAAGGGATTGAGTAGACAATCACTTTTAGGAGGCCCTTGACAGAATAGATTTCTTTCAGCTTGAAATAGCTGCACAGCCTAACTCTTTTTGGATGCTAATGGATGGCTAAGCATTTATTTGTTTGTTATCCTTGTCATTCCATAGGCCTTAACATGGGCTGCAGGCTATCCTCCAAGCCAGTGGTGGGTTTCAAATTTTTTTACTACTGGTTCTGTGGGTGTGGCTTGATGAGCGTGGCTTGGTGGGCGTGGCAGAGGAAGGATACTGCAAAATCTCCATTCCCTCCCCACTCCAGGGGAAGGATACTGCAAAATCCCCATTTCCTCCTGATCAGCTGGAACTCCAGAGGCAGAAAATAGATGGGGGCAGGGCCAGTCAGAGGTGGTATTTACCGATTCTCCAAACTACTGAAAATTTCCGCTTCTGATTCTCCAGAACTGGTCAGAACCTGCTGAAACCCACCTCTGCTCCAAGCTAAGAATCACAAAACAGACAACACACAAACACATACCACAATACAGAATAATCCTCCAATGGATTTTCCAAACTATTCCTCTATGACCCTAAAACTTTAACCTATTTTGTTGCCAGACTATCAGGGAGACTGCATCTGTTTCCCAACTGATTTCCCTGTTCCAGACACTAATAGAAGTTTTGCTAGAAGTGAAGAGAAATTTCACTAGAAATTTCCAGAAAATCATTTAGATCTATACTGTCTCTTCCATATTCAGATCACCGTTTTCTTGCTTTGAAGTAAAAACGAAAGATGAGGTGTGAGTTTTTTTATCTCTTGTTTTTACCTGAGGTAAAACAAGAGATTTTTAAAAAATGTTCTTGCTATATGGGACCAGATATCCTTTTGAATTGCCTCATGATAACCTCAGCCAGGATTTAATGATTGGGCTGGATTCAGTATCCCTCCAGTGAGGAAAAAAGGGAAAGCTGTTAATGTGTGTGACAAATGAAAGCGACAGTGCACACTTTTATATAGTATCTTAATTTTTTCGTAACAATGGCATTTGAATTTTTACACTTTAAATCTGATTTTGCTCTAAATACTTTAGGCCTGAATATTGTAAACTCCAGATTCTGAAAATGAAATTGAATTTTTTAAAGCTGTATTTAGTATGGGTGATAGATTTTACATATTAACATGAGTTATCTATATTTAAGAGGAAACAGGCCATGGTCCCCAAAACATTTACAGGTAGTTCTCGACTTACAACAGGTTGTTTAGTGACCGTTTGAAGTTAAAACAGCACTGAAAAAAGTGACTTATGACCATTTTTTATATTTATGACTGTCGCAGCATTCCCCTGGCCACATGATCAAAATTCAGATACTTGGCAACTGACTGATATTTATGATGGTTAAAGTGTCTTGGGTCATGTGATGACCTTTTGTGAAATCTGACAAGCAAAGTTAATGGGGAAGCCAGCTTCACTTAACAACTGTTACTAACTTAACAACTGCAGGGATTCACCTAACAACTTTGGCAAGGAAGGTCATAAAATGGGGCAAAACTCGCTTAACAAATTTCTCACCTAGCAACAGAAATGTTGGGCTCAGTTGTGGTCCTAAATCATGTTGTTTTTAGTCGCGAAGTTGTGTCCGACCCATTGCGACCCCATGAATAAAGAATAATTGAATAAATAAACTGAATAAAACTAAAAAATAACTGAAAGAGTCTTTCCAACTGTTTTATAGAGCTGGATCGAGGCCTGACTGAATCCCAAATCCAGGTGATTTGTCGCCAGATGCTGGAGGCTCTCAACTATCTGCATGGCAAGAAGATTATCCATCGAGACTTGAAGGCAGGCAATGTGTTGCTAACCCTAGATGGAGATATTAAACTTGGTGAGACATATACTTAGCTCTTCAGTGAGAAATAGTTGTTATGCCAAAAGATTGGTTCTTGTATTCAGCAAGTAGAGAAAGGCTTATATTTAACAGTTGGGACTATTTTGTTGCGAAAATAGCAATCAGACAACTAGGCACATTTAGCTGTTAGATAATAGTCTTTTGTTAGATTGGTCTTCCTCCAGCCTTTTTCACCAATCAAATATTTTTGGATTGGAAAAGAAGAATTTGCTGAATGTAATCCAGCAGCTTTTATTATTGACCAGATTTCTGAATTTCCTTTCAATAAGTTCTTAATGTACAATCTTGTATTTAGAAAGAAGTCTCACTATTTAATGGAATTCCCTCCTGAAAAAGCATGCACTGGATTGCAGCCTTGGTGGGCTTTTGTCATGTTATTTAGCCATGACAAAATGCGAAAATATTTTAACTGGAAATGTATTTCTCCAACAAAGAAGACTAAATATATTCAGTCATGGGGCCAAAAGCTGCCAGAGAGAGGCCCCATGAAGTCAGAAACAATGCAAATAAAATTCTTGTTCCTACTTCAGACTTAAGAGTATAGATTAGTTGCCTCTTGGGGATTCACAGCTTTTTATAATCCATATAACACAGATAATGTAAATGAAATTTACAGTGAGTTCAGACTTCATGAGCAAAATGAACATGGAACTTTTCGCTGGCACCAGATGGTATCCATACAGAGCTTTTTTTTAAAAAAAAAAACTTATATTGAAATCACAAATCTTCTAGGAAAGGAAGAAAGGCAGAGTTTTAAGATTTGAGGATGTCTCAGGGAACAAGGATAGAGACTTTATTTAAGAACATAAATCATGGCCAAAGAATAAATGGACCACAATTGAAAGGTGATTTCTGAACAGAACCCTCTATGGATTTATTGAGCCTAATGCTTTTAAGCATGTTCATAAATGGTGTAGAGAGAGTCAGCAGAGATGTAGGTTAGTGTAAGTGGATATAAATCAATAAACATTTTGTAAAAGAAAATGATTGTTTTTTTAACAGGTTTTATATGGGAGAGAGACATAGTCATAGTTGCTAGGTTCTTAGCTTCATCTTCAGAACTTTAGTGCTTGCTGCTGATCTCTCCCCTCCATCCCCTTCCAGAAAGTGGTGTGTGTGTGTGTGTAGGGGGGGGAGTCAGTTCAGCAACTTTGTCATTTTGTGAACTTTGTGGAATGTAACATTGGCTACAGTGAGAAAGACACAACCACCAAAGAATTTTCTTCTCTTACTGGCTTAGACAGTATTTCTTTGTCCAAAAGGCCAACCTTTTCCATGCTGCCACATAAGGATAGCTGTTGTTCTAATGTTCTTGTTAGACTCTTAGGATTTTTACTCACTATCCCAATCTCTTAATTGTCTAGTAATGGTTCCTTGGGATTGGATGCTTTTGTTTAGAACTCATTCTCCTTTATAAGCAGAAGTTTTTGATAATTGGTTAACTCTAAATGGAAACCTGTTTGCAGAGCAGGTTAGTGTTGGGCAGGTATTTAGAAGACAATGCTATATAATCAAATATCTCAATAAGTCAGCATTTATCTTTCCAGGAGCAGAACAGAAGTTTAAATTTTGCATTACACATGGCGCCCTTTCATTACTTTTAATTGTGACCTTCCTTCTCAAGTTGTCATCCCATTGTCACCATATATTCATCTTCATGCTTGTCCCATCTTAAGTCTATTCAGCGTAGAATTATGAGAGGTCCAGTTCTGCCAAGAACATAATTTAACAGCATGTGAATTCTCTGGAACAGCAGTTATAAAATCCAAAATTGCACAATGAAAAGTCCTGCATACAAGTTGATAAAGAAATTAGGCTCATTAAAAAGACTAATAAAAGCAGAAGTAGTAGGTGTAGGAATGTAAGGAGACACTGAAAGCTACTTACGAATTCAGCATTTTTCTTATTGTTCTGTGAGGGCTTGTGTATAAATCAATGCTTGCTATTCTTTTTGAGTTTCATGAGAATTGGCATCATTTCTATATCAGTGGAGAATTTTATTTGTTGATGTGGAGAGATAAGAAGGCTTTGTATCCTCTTTATAGTGGAAATTTCTGGGAAGAGGTGGAAATAATACTTATGTACTGTAAAATGGAACTGTAAATTATTGTAGGAAATTGAATTTAAATAGCAAAGCCATGTGTTAGGATGGGGGGTGAAGTCCCTGACAGTGAATTGTTCCCCTCTTATAGTAAAGCAAAATTCTGTTCTAACTTGATGACAGATGTAAAAGTGTTTTCTTTATCATCCCTGTAATTATGGTTATCTAAAAAAAGCAAGTTAATCAGAATCCTAAGTTACTTTTCACATCCTTCTCAAATACTCACCCACATTGAAATAGTCTGTTTTAAGAGAAAAATATTTGGCAATAATATGTTTTGTGGGTATAGATTCCATCATTTGACTATCATTGTTTTTATATTTTTAACATGTTTCAGATCATTATTATAGGCTAGATATGGGTAGAGCCAATTCCCAAATTTGGGGATTGTAGTACAATAAGATGCAGAGAGTCCTTGGTGTCCATCCAGGTTAAAGTTTCTATTGGTCCTCTGTATGCTTGCTTTGAGAAATAAACTGAGGAGTGATATAATTAAAGGTTGCCCTTTTCACTGCAACCTAAAACATTCATTAAAGAATTGAATGTGATTTCAACTCTTTTCAGCCGATTTTGGAGTATCAGCCAAAAACATGAAGACTGTGCAGAAGAGGGATTCTTTCATTGGCACACCATACTGGTAAGAGGATTATTTCAGTAGCATGACCTTTAAAGAAGTTGCTGCCAAATTTCATTGGGAGGGAAGGGGAGATGTTGTGTCCTATTCAACATACGGTGTTGTAGTTATTTATTATGGGGCTGCATTTTAAAGTATGCCCTGCATATTCAGATATATTTGTCTCTGTGCTGTGTGACTGATATCTTGATCTTAATTAGTCCCATTTGTATGTATTTTAAATGAATGTAAAATATAAAATGAGTGTGTCACCCTAGAAGGCAGTGCTGTATTTAATATTTGTAGGGTTTTTTTTAATGAGTTTGTGTGTTTCAAGGATTTTATCCTTAGAGATGGAGGGAAAAATATGGAAGAAATAAAAACTGTCAGCTGCAACAATATTCTGTCATTTGAATCACTGCCTCTCTTAAAACAGTAAAGAAAGTGCAGCTTGTATCTGGAATGAGATATTGATGGAATTTGGGCTGTTCTGTCTTCTTTTTAACCCCCCCCCCCCAAATTTGGTGGAATGTCCTTTTGAAGCAATTCCAAGGATATAAAAACAACTATTCACTCCAAGAATTTAATCGCTAAATCAGCTACATCATCATTAAGGGGATGCAATCAGTGTGCATTTAATTTGCCATTTCAAACAGTATCTAGGCCAGATGTCATTAGCCGACTGCTTGCCTTCTGTGGCCAATTGAGAATGGAGAGATGAATGACCGGGAGTATATATGTGGGCTGGATATGGCCTAAAGAGGTTAACCATCTTTGTTATCTATTAATTTCAGTAGAGGATGCATTTCTATGTTATATTCAGTAGTATTACCAAAGACAACAGGATTCAATGAGTTTGTAAAGCTGACTAGTTCATTCTGAGTACAGAAGGGATGAATTTTCATATTTCATTCATAGTTTAGTTGCAAAGTTATACTTGTTATACTAAGCCTAGACTAGTTGAATATATATATATAGTTTAGCTTGAAAACAAGATCTGGTTCTTAGAACCACTTTCAGCGAAAATGAATTTGTAGTAGAATTTCACTCTTCTTTCTTTGATTTATTTTTTTTTTAGGATGGCTCCTGAAGTAGTGATGTGTGAGACTATGAAAGACACCCCTTATGATTATAAGGCTGACATATGGTCCTTGGGCATAACACTCATAGAAATGGCACAAATAGAGCCACCTCACCATGAGCTGAACCCTATGAGGGTCTTACTGAAAATAGCCAAATCTGATCCTCCAACTCTTAATTATCCATCAAAGTGGTAAGAGGTTTTGTTTTTTCTTGTTCATTAACAATCATGAATACCTACAAGAAGCGTCCTGGTCTTCTGTCCCTCCCACATTTACTAACAACAACTAACAACATTTACCAGGAATTGTTTACCAATTCCTGGTAAACAAAACAGGAAATATGACTGGATGAGCTAATTGTACATTATTGTAAGGCTACATTCATAGAATCTTGTAAAGGTGAAGATATAAATCTCCGATCACCACTTTTAACTGCCCAATCAATTAGGGCAGGTCTTTCCTACATTTCTTCCTCTGACTATTAGACCCCTGGGGATTCCTACTCTTCTCTGATCATTTCCTAAGCAGAATCTCTTTTGTTCTCCTTCAAGGTCATTTTCACATAGGTAAAGGTAAAGGTCCCCCTCGCACATATGTGCTACTCGTTCCCGACTCTAGGGGGTGGTGCTCATCTCCATTTTAAAGCCAAAAGGCCAGCACTGTCCAAAGACATCTCCGTAGTCATGTGGCCAGCATGACTAAATGCCAAAGGTGCACGGAACACTGTTACCTTCCCACCAAAGTGGTCCCTATTTTTCTACTTGCATTTTTATGTGCTTTTGAACTGCCGGGTTGGCAGAAGCTGGGACAAGTAATGGGAGCTCACCCTGTTACGCGGCACTAGGGATTTGAACTGCTGAACTGCTGACCTTTCGATCGACAAGCTCAGCATCTTAGCCACTGAACCACTGCGTCCCATCATTTTCACATACCATTATATTAATAGGAAATATTTTACTACATTAATCACCTTACTTTGTAAGCAGACAGAATAAGTCTGTAGCAGTGGTGAAATGTAAATTTTGTTACTACCGGTTCTGTGGGTGTGGCTTGGGGAGGTAATATGACAGTGGGCGTGGCCAACTTTTTTTTTTTTTACTTTTAAAACCATTTTTCTTCAACCTCTTTGGCTGAAGAGGTTGTTTTAAAAATGCTTTTAAAGCCTCTGACGATCCCAGCTGACTTGCCTGATCAGCAGAGGCTTTGTTTTTACTTTTAAAAGCATTTTTTCTATAACCTTTTTGGCCGAAGAGGTTGTAGAAAAAATGCTTTTAAAAATTAAAAAAAAAGCCTCTGATGATTGCGCGGCTCAGTTGGGCAATTGGGGAGGCAGGGATTTTTGCTACCGGTTCTCCGAACCACCTGCCTCCATCGCTACCGGATTGGGCTATCCGGTCCGAACAGGGAGCGTTTCACCCCTGGTCTGTAGCAATTGGAATAATCATGCTAGAAAAGATCTGAGAAGTTGAATTTGAAAAGCGGAACCTTTCCAGCTGTTGCTGAATTCCACCTACCATCAGCCTCAGCCAGCATGGCTAATTATTAGGGTTTCTCAGCTGCTATAAAATATTGCCATTGCCAATGGGGACCCATTTAATAAAAAAGTTCTCAAGGAGGAATAACCAGAGGAAAGGAAATATTTTTCTTATTATTTTAATAACCTTGGACTAGTTCAGAAACACACCGCCTAAGGCACCAAGCCCTTACTCGAAGCTGTAATGCTTTAAATGCATCCCTCAGGACTACTCCATAACTTGCCACTAAATTGTAATATTTAATCTGACAGAAAAGGGAAATAATTAAAAACATGCTGAGTAATCACCTTAACTGCATTTAATTAAGTCAATTAAAGTAATTTTAATTAGATTTTGTTCTTCCCAGTTTGTCAAATGCAGCCCTTTGGGCATCACTTGAAATGTTTCCAACAAAAGGATTATGTATCCCTAGTCTTGATTAAGATTCCCTATGGTGATCTCCAGGTTAGCTATAACTTCTGCCCCTTTCACTATTGACCATGAGTTTGCAGCTGATGGAAAGTATTATTCCAGCAATGTCTAGCAAGCGTAACATTGAGATATCGCTCATCTTGGTTACTGTTAGTACTAAATTGTAATTTGTTTATACACAAATCTCTACTTATCCCTCAAAACTAGGTAATGTTGGGCAAAGAGCTTTGTCTTCTTAGCGTATGTTCCTAAAACATGTATGTAAAGGTGTTACTTGATAGAATGGGCTGTGAAAATAACCTTGAGGGAAGAAGAGTCCCAGCCAAGACAATAGTCAGATAGATCTCCACCCAAAGCAGGAATGGAATTTGAGAAATTTGCAAGATTCCGTTACTGTAACCCTATAATAAAAGCTGTTTTAGTATTCATGATTTTGGTGTCTGATTCTGGGCTACCTCAAAGGGCTGACACATACAAAAAGTATACCTTGAATTCCTTAGAGCAGCCTTTCTCAACCTGATGTTCTCTAGATGTTTTGGTCTACAACTCCCATTATCATTGTCCTTAGTTTTTTCAATCATTATTTTCCATTTCTTATTTATATGATATTGCAGTGTGCTGTTTTCCAGAATATTTCATTTCCAAACTCTTAAAATACAGTCTTTCCTCCCTTAGGACTATATAATATCACATTTTTCTGCAGCATCTGAGATATGAACAAAGATAATAGCTTAGTACCCAAGTACATTCGTTGTAATAAGAAGATACCAGGTTCTCTCCCTGACTTCCTCATTTAAAATGCGTATGATAATAAGGGAGAGGAAAAATTCCCTCCATTCTAAGACAAATGCAAGCGTCCTTGCATAACAACTACTTGTTCAGTAACTGTTCAAACTTGTGATGGCACTGAACAAGTAGTACTTATGACTGGTCCTCACAGTTCTGGCCATCACAGCATCCCCATAGTCACACAATTACTATCTGAGCACTGTGCAACCTCACAGTTATGGATAGCAGCATCTTGTGGTCATGTAGTTATCATCTGCAACTTTCATTGGTGGCTTCCAATGGGGGAAGCCAATGGGGGAAACCAGCAGGAAGTCACAAATGGTAATTGTGTGATGCCCTCACTTAATGAAGTGAAGAACTGGACTGCAGAAATTGTTGTCACTAAACAGCATAGTCATGTGACATCACACTGTATGACCGCATTGCTTAACAACAGCAAATCCAGTCCCGATTGCTGCTCTTAACTGAGGTCTACCTGTAGCTTGACTGGTGCAATGTAGCTTTCTCTGTTTCTGTGAAAATTTGAAATGTGATTTATGATGATATTTTTAATGCACAGCACAGTCCCCAGCAAATATCCAACTAGTGCAACTTTGTACTTTTACTTTCTGAAGCTTCTTTTGGCCTCTCCCAGGACACAAAATGTTTATTAGAAAGTCATCGAGTTAGGCTTCCTATTACAAGAGGAATAGAAAACAGCAAGACTCTCTGAATTTCTTGCATAGGAATAAAAAGGTAAAGGTTCCCCTTGCACATATGTGCTAGTCATTCCTGACTCTAGGGGGCAGTGCTCATCTCCAGTTCAAAGCCGAAGAGCCAGCGCTGTCCAAAGATGTCTCGTGGTCATGTGGCCGGCATGACTAAACACCAAAGGTGCACAGGACACTGTTACCTTCCCACCAAAAGTGGTCCCTATTTTTCTACTTGCATTTTTTTTACGTGCTTTCAAACTGCTAGGTTGGCAGAAGCTGGGACAAGTAATGGGAGCTCACCCTGTTATGTGGCACTAGGGATTAGAACCGTTGAACTGCCGACCTTTCGATCAACAAGCTCAGCATCTTAGCCACTGAGCCACCACTTCCCTTCTGCGTAAGAATAGGACAGTATAATTTTTCTGGCTAGAAAATCACTGAGTAGAGGAGCCATATGTGAAATATTTGCTGTGGTTATATGTAGAAACTGGCAGTAAGTGTTTTTATCTATTCTTACATGGCAGCCGGCACAGAAAAAGGGGTGCAGGAAGGGAGGAGAGTACAATCAGTTGTCTGACAGAAGGCTTTGTATTAGTTTAAACTCAGGCAGGCATTTGTCCCTGCGTGAGCTTGCTAACATTTGGTCTTTGGCATGAATTGGGAACAGAATGACAGCATGTAACTTGCTTCTGAACAGCTACAGTATCTGGGTAGCAAAACAGCGGTAGATCTGCAATTAATCAAGGCCACATTTTTTTTTTTACTAATATTATTAAATATATACAAATTTGTGCTACTTTGTGTTTCTTCCCACTGAAAAGCACCAATTTCAATTTGTAAACCGTGTAGTGTGTATCCAGGCTAGGATGTTCTTGTTTTCTTTCTCCCAACATTTTTAAATGTGTGTGTTTGTTCATAAAGGTCTCTAGCATTCAGAGATTTTCTGAAGACTGCACTTGACAAAAACCCTGAGACCCGGCCAACTGCCACACAATTACTGGAAGTAAGTATAGCATCTCAAGTGAGTCACACACGTTGACACTGCGAAAGGCTCATAAATCCACACACATTCCCTGGTTAGAGTACAGATTTCCTCCTTGGTTATTAATATAGAGAAAACTTGGATGATTGCTGGAGTTTAGATTTTAATTATGTAGGAATTTTGTCTCTCATGGGACGAAGAACTCTGCCATTTGCATAGTTCTGCTTTCTGAGGCATCTAGTACAATCTCCCTTGTACTTCTGAAACCATTTTACACTATGGTCTTCACTGGGTTTTTCCAGGTAAGTCTGTGTATATACTGTACATGATTAGGTAGTTCCTCTTACCTGTTCAACTGTGATGGAGGGACATCTAACATAACATTTTGTATATTTCAGCTCCTTAGTTGCTCCTAGGAATGCAGTTTTTATGCATAATGCTTCTATGGGCAGGAATAGTGATACTGACTGAAGTCCCATAGATTGAATGTCATACCTGAGAGCCTAATTTTGTCTTACCTCATAGCAACAGTGCCCAATTTTAAGCAGAGTGTTTTACAATTCCAGCTCATAGTTGCACTTATTAAGCAATAAAAACATATTTTTCTAAAGCTGTAAGAGGCAGCTAGCCCTTATGTCTTTTCCTGTTTTCTCTTTGCCTTATCTGTGCAAAGAGCTTCAGTGTTTCACTGTCAAAGAGAGCATGTGCTTGTGTAGAACAGCTACTTAGAAGCACACAAATGCCACAACTGTGAAAGAAACCAGTCTGATTATGTAAAAGACTGATAACTAAATATACTTCTAGCTCCTAACATTTTCTGGAAATGTTTTGGCCCCAGTAATGCAGAAACTGATTTATGACTATTTATTTTAAAGTTAGAGATTGCAATATTATTGCCTGTAACTCATGATCAATACATTGTGCAGGTAATCCTCAATTTACAACAGTTCATTTAGTGACTGTTCAAAGTTACAACTGCACTGAAAAAAGTGACATGACCATTTTTCACACTTACAACCTTTGCAGCATCCGCATGATCACGTGATCAAAATTCAGATGCTTGGCAATTAGTTCATACTTACGACCATTGCTGTGTCCCTAACTCTTTTGCCACTTTTGACAAGCAAAACCAATGAGGAAGCCAGATTCACTTAACAACCATGTTACTAAATTATAACTGCGATGATTCACTTAGCAACTGTGAAAAGAAAGGTCATAAAATGGGGCAAAACTCACTTAACAAATGTCTCATTTGACAACAGAAATGTTGAGCTTAATTGTGGTTGTAGGCTGGAGGACTATCTGTATTGAACATGAATATTTGAGTAGCAAAGGAAGAGGGAGGTAGCTGACAAGGCCTCTACATTCACTTTGTCTTGCTCTTGATTTGCAAGAGAATCAGGCTAGTTTGGTAATCATGAACTTGATTTTTTTAGCATCCTTTTGTCAGCAAGGTCACCAGTAATAAAGCCTTACGTGAGCTCGTGGCAGAGGCAAAGGCTGAAGTGATGGAGGAAATTGAAGACAATAGAGAGGAAGGTGAGGAAGAGGACTCATCAGAATCTGCCTCTGTAAGTTGAATTCCTTTTATTGCATTAAGAGATGTTTGCTTTAAGGAAACAAAGCAAAATATTACTTTTACCCTATACCAGGTGCGAAATCCAGCAGGTTCTGACAGGTTCTGGAGAACCGGTAGCAGAAATTTTGAGTAGTTTGGAGAACCAGCAAATACCACCTCTGGCTGGCCCCAGAGTGGGGTGGGAATGAAGATTTTGCAATATCCTTCCTCCAGGAGTGGGGAGGAAATGGGGGATTTTGCAGTAACCTTCCCCTGGAATGCGGTGGGAATGGAGATTTTGCAGTATCCTTCCCCTGCCATACCCACCAAGCAATGCCACACCCACAAAACCAGTAGTAAAAAAAATTGGATTTCACTACTGACCTATACATACCTGAATGTGTGCTTATACATCTATGCATTAGTAGACACAGACATATGTACTGTATACATGCACATTAAAAATCCTTCAGAGTCCACAAACTACACTAGCTGGATTTTTGAAAGCAAAGTGCTGGCTCCCTTTGACCCCTGCAGCTACTTGCAGAGGAGAGAAGTTGTGTTGCCTTTATGCAGGTGGGCAGGAAGAATGGGCTCCTTGGATGAGAAGAGGCTGCTCTTTATTCAGCAGCCAGGAATCCTTCAAACAATGTTTGGACAGGGAGCCAAGCCTTCCCTTTCCGCTTGCAAGATGACTTTCTCAATAAATGCATTCGCTGTGTGGACAAACATGTCCCCTAGGAAACATTTTAATTGTCGGCACCTTTAACTATGAAGAACGTAGCCTTTAGCTGCTTAGGATTAAAACTGTAAACTGCTCCCTGGACTGTGCTGGCTGCTTTCAGGCTTAGTTAGGACAGATAGAAGAAAAGACATTTGGGCAGGGAAGAGGCGTTTGGTCCATTGAATGATTCAGGATCATCAAACAAGGTGAGATCTGCAGTCACTAGCCAACAACAAGGATATTATCTAAAAAAAATTTTTTTTTCAAACTGGGCAGACTCTGCACATTCCCATCCATCAATGGTTTCGCTGGATAAAAAGAATGAAGAATCTTCTGTAGAATATACCTTGTTAACTAGCTCAACTTTTTGTCTCTTTCTGCCTTTTGTCCCCGACATGAATAAAATAAAAACAGCGTTTGAAAGAAGTATTTGGAAGCCTGTACAAACTAACTTTTCAACAAGAAGAACCACAAGAAAACCAAGAATATATTATACTGACTCAGCAGTAGTTTTGTGGTAGGATAGAATGGAGCGTGGTAGCTTTGCTTTCCATATTGCTAGAGGTATAGATTCAAAAATATTGAATGGACCTTCAACATTCTGGACCTTCTCATGACTTCTTGGTTACAAGGAGGCAGTAGAATATAGTTAGAGTTAAGAATGCATTGCATGTCCCCTCTACCTTCTCTTTGCCCTAGATACTGTTTAACCTGAGGTTACTTCCCCTGCCTTCCTTTTGAGGTATGTAGATACACACATACACAGACAGAGACAGATATACATACACATACACACTCACATGTGATCTCAGGCTCTCCTTCTGTGTCAAGTACACAGGCAGATTTGTATCTTATTGCACGGAGGTTGTGAATTGTAACAAACATTTTTTTATTAAGGCATGTATAAAGGATTTGTAAGAGGTTTGTGTCTCTAATACGAGTATCACTGAATCTTATCAAATGCAACACAGGAAATCAAAGATTTTTGGTTTGTAGGAAATATAGCTGAGGATTGTTTGCAGCGAAGAATGACTTTCTTTACTTTATAGATTTTTTTTCATATAACTTTATTGCAATTTTGAAAAAGAAAGATAAATACTTACAATAACGATTATTTAGAACAGAAGGGAAAAGGAAAAAAAAGAGAAGAAAAAGCTACAAATGAAGGAAAGAAAAAAAGGAAAGAAAATATGAAGAAGTAGTTTCCAATTTTCTTTACAGCAGTTATAAATATGCATGTAAATTAACCTCTTAGTCTAGGATTACAACATGATATATATTTTTTCTATAATCTATTTTTTCCAGTTACCAAAACCATACATCATAATTTCATTTTTTTTCCTGGTCCACATCAAAAGTCTATAAATCTAGTCAAAAAATCTTACTACCATTTTAGTGACTCTCATTCTGCCCTTGCTCTGGGCTGAAGCCTGTCCATTTCTTGAGATTTCCTTTCCTCATGAATAAAGTTTCTGTTTCTGTTTTTCATTTTGAGGTTTTCTTCTGAACGTATTTTAGTTGTGGTTTTGTAACGAGGTGGAAGAAATGCTATTTTTCTGTCCGATTTGTCTTTCATTTTAGTCCTCACCTCTGCAGCCTCTCTGGCTGTCTAATGAGTAGAAGCCTCATGTGAGAACTTCTGTTGTGGTTGCCTCTCTTGTAATGTAATTGAAGCAGGGGAAGCGAGAGAGATGAAGATTGCTGTAGAGCAGTTCCATAATGAGAGACAGAATATCTGTCTTCATTCCTTGGCCATCTCCTAACTACAAGAGCTGCAAGAATCTTCCACTTTTCCCATGAAATTTCAGGAAATGTTGTTTTCCGTTGGAGAAAACAATGAAAAGCATCCTCCCCCCATCTCTCAGAAGAAAAGAGTTAAAAATGCAGAATATAATTTTGGCACAGCACTCCCTTCAGTAGCTGCCAAGATTTTATTAATAATACTTGAAGCAACTCAGATTCTATCCAGTACAATGGTGAGCAATACACAGTTTGAAAAGAAAGTGAAATGGATGGGGCGGGAGGGGGGGGGACAGTCATTAGTACAAATTATGTAGAAGGGCAGCCTGAAGCCTTCTGCTCCCAGGAAAACTTAAGCTTCACCTTTCGGCATTTTCATTACTAATTTTCCTACTCCTTTGTATGTGAAAAGAATGAAAAAAAAATGCTTGATAGTTATTATTTGGTGAAATCCACCAAGCAAAAGGAGTGGTTTCCTGAAGTCAAATTGCATGTTACTTTAAAGGAAATAGATAACCGGTTCTGCCTTTGTTCTTTGCTCGGATGAAAGGCAGGGAATCCAGTCCCAATTTAGTTCTTTCTAATAGGCTCTGATGAACTTTCAACAATGTGCCCTTCCTCACTGCAGCTCCAGTTTAGATTTGAACAGCTGCAACTTGCATAGTCCAATAAGAATGCTTGGTTCTAATTGGGGCAACAGGAATCCTGAAGTTTTTATAAATGCAATCATCACCTTTCCAGTCCAATTTAGCTCATTCTAATTCTAGTGGTCAGGAACTATTGCTTTAACAGTTTGCTAGGGGGTGAATAATTGTTTGAATGCCATAGTAGAAGAAAATTGTTTGGACCAATCACTGTTTCTCAGCCTAGTGTGCTTCACAAGGATATTCTGAGAATAAACTGAAAGATAGTGAAATTACTATTTACATTATCCCAAATTCACTGGAGGAAGGGCAGAAAAAATATAGTAGGTTAACTCATTGTCCCTCTATTATAAGGCCAATCTAATTGACACAAAACAAGGAATATAATGGTAATGCAAGACAATCTGTATAATTTTGATAGGTTAGTACTTGTCCTAGCCTGCAGATCTTCTTCTAGCCTGCAGAGCTTTAGCAAAATTGTTCATAGTTCATGAATGTGTAAATGCATTCAGAGTTGAAATTGGGACACAAAAGTGCCAGTCCAATCTAAATAAAGATAAGCAAAAATGTATGATCAATGGCTAAGGTTTAAGATTTATTTCTATAGCCATCCAGCTTAACCAAGTGACTAGGTGTCTTACAATTCTGGGTTCATAGGAAAAGTTAAAAAGTGTTTTTCAAGTTCAGATGAAAGAATAGCATTTCTAGGAAAGCTGGTATGGTTTAAAGACAAGCACAGAGGACACAAGACTAAGGTACTGAAAATGCTTTTCTAGTATTATACTCTGTCCAGGTTCCTGATTTTCATTCAGACATAGCCATCAGTAGCCAACTGGCTGCACAAGCCAGGGTGTTCAGTATAACAGCCAATTCTCAGTAGATCTTCCTGCCAAGATGTCTCACCATAGATTCTAGAGTATTTCCACTCTTTGGATTTCCACATCCATAGTAGTGACATTCTGAAGATTGGACAATATGGACGAAGAGGAAGAGATTGGCTCTGTAGAGGTAGGAGTGGTGAACCCTGCTTCTGCCTTAGTAGTGCTACAACTCAATCTCTCAGATGTCTAATATCCCATCCTGCTCCCCTTATTCTTGTGATAGCATGCCAGAGGCATGACAAAAATTCAGTATTCTTGGTTGCAGACTTTTTCTATTTTATAAATTGGAGGTCCTGTAACCCTGACAGAAGGCTTACGGAGGAGAGATCATCAGAAACAGAAAAGTGTAAAGGCAGGCCGAACGAAGCAAAATTGGCAAAGAGTGAGCTGGGGCAACATACTTCAAGTAACAGTTCACTAACAGTGTCAAAGAAAAGTCAAAACACAGCCTACTGGAAGATTTTGGCAGGATGTTGTCAGCTGTTCTGTAGCAAGGAGAACACTTTATAGACCAGCAATGAGACCTTCTGTGAACTGATGAAGCAGAAGAGGAGAAAGCATCTTCATCAGTGCCAAGTTACTAGGAGAGAATTAAACTTTCCCTTTTACTTCTAACTCCCACATCCTCCCCACCTCCACTATATAAGTTGGCAGAGAGAGGGAATATTCTCTAGGTACTCAAAGTTTCCTCAGAACTCAATGATGAAACAAATTACCTACTTCAGCCTAAGTTTCAATGGTTTGTTTGCAAAAATTCTTTTCTGGAGGAGAATGTGATCCTGTTTCCCCTTAGAACGAGTCTCTGTTTTATCTCAGTGTGTTCAGTGTTCTGTTTGTTAATTGTTCTTTCTTGTTCCTTCAGGCAAAAATGTTTTTTTTTTTTTAAAAAAAGGATAATTTCATTATCTTCCTCTTGTTTCCCCTCTTCCTTCACTCAGCCTCATGACGTTCAGAAGAGGGATTCTTCTCTTTCAAGCCAGTTAGGTTTGGAAGGAGAAAAGCTTCAAGAAAACCGCTTATCACTTGTGGCCAATGGACCAAAGTTGCCTTTGGAGCACGTCAAGGAAGCTATAAATGGGCAGGACAGTAGGCTTTTGGAGGAAGAAACTAGAACTGAAGCTCTGGTCAAAACTGCTGAGCATTCAGATATGTTGGGAATTGAAAGTTATTCAGTCCTGCCTGGTGCCAAACAGAAGTTAAACACCAGCACCCAGGCATTGCAGCCCAATGAAAACATTAAACCAGCAGAGGATGGGGCTGTCAACCACCAAAAGGAAAGCACTGAGACAGCAAACAGTGAGGATTCAAATTGGGGAAGCCACACTGTAAACAGCCTCCTTGAAACACCAACTGAAGAAAAACTCCCCAATGGGAGTGTGAACTCTTCTCAGTTTGAGAATGACAGCCTTAAGAGAGATTCTGATTCTGGTAGCACCTCTGCTTCAGAGAGTATGGACCTCAACATCTCTTTATCTACTGATTTGTCCTTGAACAGAGGCAGTGAATCCCACTCCCTAAAGGTAAGAATTGAAGATTGTGGGTGGGGCAGAGGGTTATGTAGGCGCCCCCATTGAATGATCAGCAAAAAAGCACAGCAGCAGCACCCTTTCTTTTGTGCACTGATGCAACAATGCATCACTGGATTGTAGGATTAGGAAATTCAGCAGCATCTTCTACTACAATCAGGTTGTGTTTTGGGCTGCAGTGGATAGGAAGGTAAGAAACTTTCAGGTCCAGAAATCAGAGGAAAACAACCAAATGCTTCACAAGTGTTTTGGATTTTAATTCTCATTAGCATTACCAACTAATTTTTTTTTTTTTGACTGAAGACACACCATTGCAAGTGATGTCATTGAAAAATCTAAATAATACTATGTTGCCTGCCTAGAGATAGTACTGTAATAATAAAGCATGTAAGGAGGATGAGTCCTATTTTTTGGTGGAAAGAGAAGATACTTAAATATTTGTGATTTCAGAGAGGGTTCAAATTTTGAAATTTCAGAAAAATGATTGGCATTCAGTAACTGTCAGTTCCTCCTGGTCTTTGTAAGTCTTCTAATTGGACAGGGTGTCTTCCCTTCCCCAAACTCCCCCAAATACAAATACTAAAAGCAAAATGAATCATACAAATCAAGAATATCTGTGGGATCTGTTGTTTTAATTTCTTAATATTGTCTTGGAATCTGAATTTCCTCGCTAGAAATCTTTTCTTTTTTCCCCATGGTGATTATGATTCCTGTGAAGGTTTTAGAAAACACATTTTGTTTAGTTACAGTAAATAATTATTTCATATTCAGAATGTCTTATTGTCTTTTTACACTGTTTCTTTTGTTATATGTGTAGAATGCAAAAATGCAGAACATGACACTGAAACGAACAAGAAGATTTGTAGTAGATGGAGTGGAAGTGAGTGTTACCACTTCAAAAATTATTAGTGAAGATGAAAAGAAGGATGAAGAGATGAGATTCCTCAGGCAAGCTAAAACTGTGTTTTGTTTGTAAGGATTTGTACAGGCCTGACTGTTTAGGTAATCAGTGAAAACGTTAAATACTAGGAAATTTTTTTTGATGGTAATAAGATTCAGCCTTGGATCAGAGAATCTATGAAAATAGTAGGTCATTTTAGATCTTGTTCAAGTACAGCACATACAGAAGCATATCTATGAGGTTTCTATTCACTAGAGATTAGAAATTATCTTATGGAACCAGATATTGAGAATTATCATCCAGTATTCCATCCAGCTTGGCCAAAGGCTATCTTGGATTTATAGGAGTTGCAGAATAATACATCTAGAAAGCACTAAACCATGCAACAGAACAAGAATGGGGAACGGAAAAATGAAAGTTCAGCAATTCATTGCTAATGTTTTTGCCTGCTCTTTTTATTACCACAGTAGTCAATAAATGTCTGGCAACAGTCTGGCAATCTAAATTATACCAAAACAAGTGACATATGGTAAGTTTTCTAAAACTCAGTTCAACAGAGGTCAACACCACAAACTTACCTGAATTGGTCATTATATTTCTTTCAGTTTGCTAAGTTTCAGACAGAGATATATTCTTGCATGCCAATTGTATTAAACTGCATTTATTCAAAACCTTTGCATGATGTAATCTGAATAATTCAAGGCCAGAAGTGCAAATATAAACAAGAAAGAGCTGAAAAAACCAGCCTCTTCAAAATATTCTGCCTGCAGGCCAAAAGTGGTGTGTGTTCATGACAGTGATTGAAAGAGTCAGTTCTCCCCTCAAGGAGATTCCTAGATCCTTAGAATGTAGATGACAGCAGGCAACCCATCTTGGCTAGTCTTCATTATGATTATTTTAGCCTAAATGGTGCTTCTGTGTAGCTTTAGTTTTAAAGGGAAAGCTTCTCCTTTGTTTCTAAACTTCTGTTCTACTTTACTTCTGTTCTGACTTCTGTTCTATTCTGCAGGCGCCAGGAGCTGCGGGAGCTACGTTTACTTCAGAAAGAGGAACATCGGAATCAGACACAATTAACAAACAAACATCAACTGCTCGTGGAACAAATGTTAAAACGTTTTGAACAAGAAATGAATGTAAGTGGGAAAAGGAATTGCCATCTCAGAAGTTGGCTGAAGATGGAGAAAAGAAAAATTAACAAGCCATAAGTGGTATTAATTAGGTTAGAAAGAAACCTAAACCCTGGCACTAAAAGTAGTGTCAGTTCTCTGAAGAATTATGGATAGAATGGCAATCTTGTCTGTGTGAATGTATCAATATTAATACATTATATATTGTATATCGTATCGTAACTAACAAAACATAACAAAAAACATAAAACATAACATTCTTTACTATAGATTGTGGATGTTAGGTGTGAGAGGCTTATAATCTTTTATTATTCAGAATAATTTTCCTGTGTTTATATTTTAGTGTCTTCAAACATTGAAGATCCTTTGGAAAATCCTTGCTAAAATCATAATATCAAGTAGCAAAATCCCAAATGTTTTGAACTCCAAGAAATTCTCATGCTGATTTTTTGAAGCTGCAGTTCAAAATATCTGGAGCATACAAAGTTTGATATTCCTGACATATTCTTAGCACATACAAAACAAGGGCTATTCTTCCTTCTATCCCTAATAATTTCTCACACTACTAAAAAATTGCAGGAATCTCCCATCCAAACATAATTAATTTTTAGTTATGCATTGTTGCGTTGTAAAATTTTGGTATGCATTTCTGTTCCAGATTCTCTTGCATGTTCAGAATGCCAGGAAGCAGCATATTTAGTTAAACATTCTGGGAGAAGAAATCCCTTCCAGTCACTTTTCTTATGTCTCATAGTATGCCACCTCTAATTCAGCATCTTCTGCAGGTGTTATCCCACAACTAACGGCATGCAGACATCATGACTATAGTAATATGGGTTTGTTGGAGCTGTACTCCAACACATCTGGAGAGTGCAAGGTTGAAGAAGAGTTATGTAAACAGATGCAATCATTTCTTCTGCCAGTATCAGCATTGCTGAATCCTTCTCAGTTTCTCTATTGTTAAATCTTCAAAAAAAATTGGCAATAATGTTTCAAATACTATATTTGAACAATTAACAGTCTCCATCCTCAAGTTTTCTCAGGGCTATACATTCCCAGTTTTCAATCAGGCTTAATAGGAATTTCTCTTTCTTTGATCATTTGAAATTATTCCTGTACTTGAGCAATTTTTCCCATTATTTTTTCCTGTGCATCATCCAATCTTATACATAGAAGGAAGCTTGAACAGCTTTTTCCTGATCTACTCTAACACACACACACACACACACACACACACACACACACACACACAGGCAATCCACAGCCTACAGACAAGGATGCCACAGTCAGGTCCTAATGGTTGTTGTCCAGATTGTCATTGCTGAATCAATCATCAGCAACATGAATCCTATCATCCCCAAAAGGGTTGCATTAAGATCAGTGAAGCCACTAGTCCCAAAATATTGCTCCAAAATATTGTCCATCCTTCCTGCACTAGTTCAGAGGTTTTTCGTCAGAGCTACTATTGTTAAATCCTGCATACTGCCTGACTCTCAACAACAAAGAAATTACATTAAACTAAATCATTAAAAAAATAAAGATGGCAAGCATGATGAAGTGAGTGGTCTTACTTTCTCTTGCTGAATCCGAGGTGAAATAATAAGAGTTACTTCTCAGTTACAGCTCAAGCAGTGGACTCTTATTTAATGTTCACAGCCAAGATAGTGTGAGGATCTTTTAGATTTAATATGAAATTAACTAATGATTCTTATCTGAAACCAAACTTAGGTATCTAAGCTTGTTTCCCCCCCCCAAAAAAACTTTGTTCTTATTACTGAATTAAGAAAAATATCAATTTATTTAAGATTCTATCTGACATTTCTTGTGTAGTCAAAGAAGAAGTTTTATGACACGGAATTAGAAAATTTAGAACGGCAACAGAAGCAACAAATTGAAAAAATGGAGCAAGATCATGCACTGAACCGGCGAGATGAAGCTAAACGTATCCGTGCTGAGCAAGAACGGGATCTGGTTAAATTTCAAGAACTGCTGAAACAAAAAAAGAAAGAGGTAAAGCTTTGAATTCTTACATGCTAGGATAATGTTAGGATGCCAACCTAGCTCTCAGTTAAAGTCTTTGTCATAAACAAAGCAGTTCAAGGGGGTTGGAAGGTGAAATCCAGGACAATGAAGAAAGTAGTCCAAGGAAGAAAAAATATACAGGAATGCAGAGAAAGGCGTAAAGGAAAGAAGTATGAAAAAGTGAGGTGAGAGAGAAGGCAGGAAAACGTAAAGAGCTAACGACGTTGTTTAATGATTGAGCTGTAAATTGTAAAGTTCCTGGTTCAAATCTCATTTCTTCCACAAACTTTTTCAACATCTGTAGACATTTCTCTATAGACACATTAGAAATACATTCTATTGACCTAGGTGGGGCTGCTGAATAAAAAGGTATTGAGGGAGGAATTTGGGGGACAATGCCAATTTTAAAAAGGCCATTAATAAAAGAATGAGCAACAGCAAGACAGTAAGAAGGAGAGACAGAAGAGAAACAAAAAACTGACTGCACTCTTCAGTTTTCTGCTAAATGTATGAAACCTTATTATAGATCCTTTAAGCTACAAAGGGCTCCCCAGTGGTTCTGAATATCTCAAAAGTTTGACTGCTTGTCTTTTTCCTTGTTATGAAGCTCAAGAATGACATTGAAAAACTCCCCCGGCAACAACGCAAGAGCAGCATGAAAGTGAAGATGGATGAATTTGTACAAAAAAAGCAAGTAATGGTAAGGCACAAGAGAGATTTAATTGACATTGTAGCACAAACTCTTACAGCAACCTAGATTCCCAACCAGAAACACTATGGATTATCTCAAAAGACCTTCAGAGAGCCTGGAATTCTAGTTTCTAATTAGTTTGAGAATTACCATCCCAACGTACGTAAAAGTTGGCAGATTTGGGAAAGCTCTGGCCGGCCAAGACGAGTATTCATACATCTCCTCTCTCATTCCAGGAACAAGACTTTATAGCCAAGCAATCTGAGGATCTGGAGCAGGCTATGAAAAACATTACAGCTCAGAATCGGAAAGAGATCTGTGACAAAGAACGAGATTGCCTCAATAAAAAGCAGCAACTTATGAGAGGTGCTTTTTTTCCTTATATGGACCAGTTAGAATGGATTACAAGTAACAAAGTCGGACTAAGAAGAATATGCTTTCGTTTAAAGGCAATGCAATAGGAAAGCATTAGCAAAGCTGTAAACAGGAAGAATGCAAATCGTTTACAGTAATGAGAACAGGGGTGAAATGCTAACGGTTCGGACTGGATCGCCCAATCTGGTAGCGATGGCGGCGGGTTGTTTGGAGAACCAGTAGCAAAAATCCCTGCCTCCCCCCACATGCCCAGCTGAGCCATGCGATCATCAGAGGCTTTTTTTTACTTTTAAAAGCATTTTTTCTACAACCTCTTCGGACGAAGAGGTTGTAAAAAAAAAATGCCTTTAAAAGCCTCTGATGATCCCAGCTGAGTTGCCTCTTAAGGTTGTAGAAAAAAATGCTTTTAAAAGTAAAAAAAAAATTGTCTTGACCATCAGTATTTATATTATTGAATAATATTTTAAGCTTTTAAAATAATGTTTTAAGATAGAGAGTTGTTTTTGGAAAAGTAGCTAATTAATCTGAAGTTATAAATTTCCAAGCCATTTTTTGTCACAGTGCTAGCTTGAAAGCCAACAGTAAAACATCAAAAATAGAGCTTACCTATAACACGGGGATGGGAAAACTTGTGATATTCCATATTCTGATATACAGCTTTCAGCTTCCTGGCTGGTGCTGGTGAGAGTTGGAATCAAAAATTAAAACAGAAATATAAATGTAAAAGTAAACCTTTGCTACAGATTTCTAAGGAAGCAAAAGCCACCATAGTATGAATTCTTCCCAGATTATAGTATCTGGTTGTTCGTCTTTCTTTAATAAAAGATCTCCTCTGAAGAACTGTTCATAAAAGATATGATGGGAAGAGATCTCATCTATCACAAAGCCGTATTTTATGCACAAAAAGTATTTGCATTTTTTTTAAAAAAGTACATATGCGGAATAGATATGCAAAGAGAAAAAAGTGTCAAATTCAGGAAACCAGGAGCCAGTATAGAGTTCAAAAGCACTGTAAGTTTATTCCCTGCAACCTATATACAAGAGCCTTGAGTCTTCGGAGAAAGGCGGCATACAAGTTGAACAAATAAATAAAAATCTGATCCACTAATAGTCAAGGCAAACTGGTACCAGATAAAGAGTCAATAGGCTAACCCTAACCCTAACCCTAACCCTAACCCTGGATGTGGGTGGGGCTGGATTTAGGTCTCTTGGGGGGGTCATAGTGACTCCAAATTTATGATGCATTTGACCTTCTTCTCAGGCTCAGCCTGATCATCTATAAAAAAAATTAGGAAAGAAAGCAGAGAATTCTATTTTAAAATGGAATTCATATGCAAAATTATACATTAGGGAGGCTTATCATTTTTCTTTTAAATGTGAATTAGGAAAGGTGCGTGCAAAAGCTTTATACATTAGGAGATGTTTCAAGGAACCACCAATTTTTGAAAATTATTTTTAAAAATGGTATTAACACAGCGTTATATGGATTGGAATACTATTATAGGAACACAGATTGGGAAATGATTATTTGTACTGATCACTAACCGCTAATCTAAAGGTTCACAGATTTTCCGTCTCTGTAGCAAAGATTTTGCAATCAATTCCTTCCCACACACACATATTCTTCCTCTTCTCTTGCTTTGGGAAGTCCCGTGCAAAGAAAAACAGCTGCTCTTGTCATTCATTTACCTTTTAATTTCAGGCCCATAATGTCATAATATAAAGAGAAGGTTGAGGGGGACAGAAACTGAGCATGTGGGTAGACATCTTGAGATTGAAACAGTTACTCTTCCCCTCTCTGTTCAAGTTTTGAAGGACCATATATATATATTTAGTTTGGTTTTTTTTTTAACCCTGTAGACCGAGAAGCTACTATTTGGGATCTTGAAGAGCACCATCTGCAGGAGAAGCACCAGACTTTGAAACAGCAACTAAAAGATCAGTATTTCCTCCAGAGACACGAGCTGCTCCGGAAACACGAGAAGGTAGCAGCATTTTCTGTTCTCGGTTCTTTTGAATGATAGGTGAGATCTAAAGTTGCAGATATACAAATCAAGTGTGCAGAAGAATCAGAGCGTGGAGATATGGGAAAGGTTATTTGGTAGAGCATCATAATGAGGAAGATTTAAAATTGTATGGTAACTGTGGGCACCTAAGAGCTCCTGGAAAGGAGTACTCTGGTTATAATACAACCATCTAGAGTTATTAGAGGGAGGACACACGCTTAGAGTTAGTCTCTCCTAAATTAAGATTCTCTCAATATGTTGGGTTGTAGTTCCAATATCCACTGTGATTATAGTCAAGTTTGCTAAAGAAAATTTCTTCACACCAGATTAAATTCTGATTTCAGAGAAAGAAACAACAACATTAGATCAAATGTTCTATTTCCGCCTTTTGCTGTGATAGAAATTGCATTGAATCTTTGGCAAAACTGCTTATTTTACATTATGAAACAAGATGTCTTTCATTTCCATTAGAGAAGTTTCTAATGTTCCTTCTCTATATGGAGAATACTAATATATACAATAATATTGTACTAATAGTACACTAGTATATATTGTATCTCTGATTTATTGGCACCTGTACTGTAGGTCTGGATGATCGCTAATATTCATATATTGCTTATTATGTGCATAATTTATTACACATCACTACACATTGCATTGAACAGTCATCTTTCCGCACATAAATAGCATACTGATTATGATTTCCATTAAGAAATCCCACTGGATAGATCTGTAATTTGGCAGCTTTCTATGATAGCTTTTATATTTCAGCTGGCTTAATTAGCATTGTTGTCTGTGATAGTTCCCAATAGCTTATGCTTGGGATGCATTCATAGGAGCTGGAGGCATTGATGTTATTTCCTTCAGGAAAAAAAACTGTACTACCCTCCTCTGCATCTTCAGGTCTTCCAGTTTGATCTTACTTCTCTCTCTCCCCCTCTCTTGTTTTTTTGTTCAGTAACTTGCGGCTCCTTGCCATTGATGTCTCTGAATGTAATGTGGGGCATTCTCTTACACTGGCTCCCACCACTGTGGGGATTTATATTGCAGGAACGCGAGCAAATGCAACGATATAACCAGCGCATGATAGAACAGCTGAAAGTTAGGCAGCAGCAAGAGAGGGCCCGTCTCCCCAAAATTCAGAGGAGTGAAGGGAAAACCCGCATGGCCATGTATAAAAAGAGTCTCCATATCAACTCCAGTGGAAGTGCCTCAGAACAGAGAGAGAAAATAAAACAGGTGAAGTTTGCTGTCAGAGCTGGGTAGTCACCTTGCTGAAGGGATTTGCCTGAGAACATTCATTAGATATAGAGATGTCTTGGGACCAGTGCTCTTCAACTTCTTCATAAATGAGCTACATTCTGTTTTGGCGGACCAGCAGTAGCAGCAGCAGCGCGGGGCAGGGGAGTCAGGATCAGTGGTGGGTTGCCCCCGGTTTGGACCGGTTCTATAGAACTGGTAGTAAAACTGGAGAGAGGCTCCGCCCACCGACCCCGACGTCATCAGAGCTTGCGCACACACGCAGCCCCATTGCGAACCGGTAGTACAGGTAAGTAGAACCCACCCCTTGTAAGGATGGTTTTGAGTGCACACGCCAGTTTCACACACTTGCATGCATGTGTTCGTTCACCACTTCCATGGCTTGGTTCCGAACGGGCTGTGGCCCACCACCAGGCCATGAACTGGGGGTTGGGGACCCCTGACCTAGATGAAGAGATTGAAGGGCACTCATCAAATTTGTGGTTGAGGGATTGCTAACACTTTAGAAGATAGATTCAAGATTCAGAAGGTAACAGGTAACAGAGTTGGAAGGAACCTTGGAGGTCATCTAGTCCAAACCCCTGCTCACACAGGAGACCTGTACTAGGGATTCGAACCGCCAAACTGCCAACCTTTCTGATTGACAAGCTCATGTCTTAGCCACTGAGCCACCTAGTCAGGCATCTTGGCAGAGTTGAGCATTGGGTCCTATCCAATGAGATGCAATTCAGCAGTGAGAAAAGTAAGTTGTTGCTCTTGGGCAGGAAAAATCAGATGCACTAGTACAGGATAGAGGGTAGTGCCTATGAGAGGGATCAAGGTGCCCTGGTGGACCACTGCTTAAGCGTGAGTCATCAGTATGCTGCAAAGCCAAATTAGTCCAGGGCTGCATCAATAGAGGGATAGCATCAAGATAAAGGGAAGTAATAGTACCACTCTATACCGCATTGATAAGGCTGTATTTGGAATGCTACATCCAGTTCTGGGCACCATATTACAAAAAAGATGCTGAAAGATTACAGAATACAGAGAAGAGAAACAAAGATGATAAGGGGTCTGAAGACTAATCCTATGAAGAATGGCTAAAGTAACTAGATATCTTTAGCTTAACAAAGAGAAGTCTCAGGGAAGACAAGATAGCAATCATTTGTATGTCCAATATAGAGAAGAAGGTCTGGATTTATTCTCCCTAGAACTTGAGGGTAGGACAAGAAGCAAGGAGTGGAAGCTCATCAGAGAGTGATCCAATCTGGAACTAAGGAGGAATTTCCTGACAATGACAATTTTCAAGCAGTAGAACAGCTTGCCTCCCAGAGTGGTGGGTGGTTCATTGCTGGAGGCTTTCAAGAAGAGTTTGGACAATCATTTGTCCAAGATGATAGGAGGACTCCTGTCTCTAAGGTCCCTTCCAATCCTATGATTCCATGACTATGGATGGAAAATAAGCAGAGGATTCTTTTGTCAATGAGTCATTTCATATAACCTGTTTAGACATGTTACAGGATTATAACAATAAAACATTTTTTTAACAAAGAGAGTAAGGAATAGGCATATTTTAAATAAAAAAAACAATTCATGGTAAATGAATATGCTATTCTATACTTTCCCTGATTGTATCTGCTACCACATCCATTAGTGGGCCCAGCTAACAAATTATGGAGGATTCCGAGACTGAGAAGAACAAACCAGGGACCCTCCTTTGAATAATATGATGAATTATCTATAGATAGAATCATCCAAGGTTGTTTAGCTGTGCCAGCTCACAGGAGGAGCCATAGGTACTGCCAAAGCAACACTGTATGGACCAATGCACTGCCAATTAATTGCTAAACAGTATTTTGGCCTTACATATGTCATGCAAACTAACCAAATAAATGTATTATACTGTAAAAATCTGCTAGAGATAGCCTACTGGGAATTACCGTATTTTTCGGAGTATAAGACTCACCTTTTTCCCCCCTAAAAGGGGGTGAAAATTTAGATGCGTCTTATACACCAAATGTAGCTTCGCCCACCCACTGGCCCCCATCCTTTGGCCTCTGCCTCGCAGCAGTTACCTCCTTGCAAGCAAACAGCAAGAAAAAACAGCTCCTTTCAGCTTCAGCAGAGGCTAATTATCACAAGTTGATTGGATCGGTGCAGGGCTCTGCTGCTTGCTGCAAACAGGTAAATTCCTGGAGCAGATTTTTTTTTCCTTGTGCTAACCAAGCTATGCTGAAAATGAAAATAAAGCAGGCTGTTTGCTGTTTGCTGTAAGGAGGCAAAATTGAGGCAGAGGGAGATTTCTTTTTCTTCTTTTCCTCACCAAAAAAGATAGGTGTGTCTTATATTCTGGTGCGTCTTATACTCCAAAAAATGCAGTATTTGTCTAGCTGCATGTCATATCACTGACATTTAGGCTTCAGTATTAAATGAGTTTCAAAATAGAAATAATTCAAATTATCTACTATGTCACATACTCTGATTTCATGAAAGGATGATCATAATTATGATCACCCGTCCCTCTTATTTTTGGTGTACCTTATGTAAGGAAAAATGAAATCAAATAATATTAATAAAGCACTCATCATCCAAGCAAATATTAGACAAGATCCAGAAATCCTGTAACTATCCGAGAAGTTGATTTAAAACAGTTTCACTGACAATAAATAATTAATCACAAAGGTAATCTTCACTTACCTTCTGTAGCATTTCAAAGTTCAGGTATATAACTGTTGTGGGAAGCCATCCAAACCTTGCATGATTATTGGTGCTCTCCCCATTACAGTTTGCACAGCAGGAAGATAAGAGACAAAAAGCTGAGCGAATGCAACAGCAGCAGAAGCATGAAATGCAGATGAAGGAGATGTTGGCTCAGTGTGAGAGCAACATGAATGAACTGCAGCAGTTACAGGTAACTTAATATCAGTGGTTCAGTTTTATTTATGCTTATGTTAAATCTTTAGAAGTACAGGACGTATGAAATCTTTGAGCTATCTGTTACCCTGTTCTGAAAGATTTGTTAATGCTGGTCACAGTCGGTCCTTAAAACAGAAGAGATAAATAATATCAGGGGGGGTTTTAAATGCTGGCACGTAATTGTATTTATATCTGAAGCTTTACCCAAGGAGTGAAATATGGATTATTAAATGTGGGTTCATTTAATTCATTTAAACCCTAACATAACCCTGGTGAGTTATGCTAGTTTTGAAAGAGAATGGTTTTTCTCAAAGCCATCAAGTTAAACTCCATGGATTACCATAGATCTCAAGTCTTTATGACTAGAGCGCAATATGCTAACCATGCTATATTTGCTAACTCCAAGTTAAGCAGGCACATTGAATCTGCGATATTAAGTGGAATGAGACTTCTTTCTACCTAATGTCAGAAAGATATTAGAACGATAACTTCATATTATTTGCTGCTGGTCATGCAATCTCAAATTAGGTCAAAGAGATGGTAGGCCTGGTGCTGTTTCTTCCTTGCAAAATATCTTCTCATATCTCTCTCTCTCTCTTGCTTGTTTCAATCTATGTAGAATGAAAAGTGCCACCTTCTGGTTGAACATGAGACCCAAAAACTGAAAGCCCTGGACGAAAACCACAACCTGACCCTCAAGGACTGGCGAGATAAACTTAGGCCAAGAAAAAAGGTGATTAAAAATTTGCACTCGTATCAGAATTAAATTGTGACATTTTTATTTTCAGATCCGTTGATCAAAATAAGGATAAAAAAATGTTAATTTCCACAAGATAATTTAGAGGAAAACAAATAGGGAGGACTTTGAATGTTTGTGAGCAGGTTTGCATTGTATACTCTGTTTTATTCTCCTTATTCTAATGTCATATTCATTTCAACCTGCAGCTGCATATAAGCTGGCAGGAATCCAGAGAGAAGCCAAGGTTATTACTAGCAAAACATCATCTTTTCACCTCTTCTGTCTTTGTGTTTCAGGCACTAGAAGAAGAACTGAATCAGAAAAAGCGAGAACAAGAGATGTTTTTCAAACTCAGTGAAGAAACTGATGGCCTGTCTCCTATATCACCAAACAAGCCTGCTAAATTTGTCCCATTCAGCTCTGCAGAGGCTTCATAATACTTGGGTTAAGAAGGCAAGGCTCGGTAATACTTTCCTTTGCCTGTTGGAGGGAAATCAACAGACAGGGCTCCTTCCTTTCTTTGCCAACACTGATCAGAGTTTCCTGTTCAGTTGTGTGCCAGATAGTCCATGTGGCTAGCAAACTGATCCACTAGCGGTGAGGCAGGTTCACATATAGGTTAGAAGCAAGCTTCAAGGGGACCACCTGATGGGGTCGACTGCAGAATCTACATTGCTTGCTGAATCCTTCCCCGGCCAGTTTTACCATTTCCTAATGGGATAGTGGAAAAGATCTAAGAGGAGATTAATTACAGTATTGGTTTAATTTTCCAAGTTAGCTTTCCTGTGTATTTGAGCTTAATGAGTAGGTGGTTTTACTCAACAGTATAACTTTGAGACTCAATAGTAGATGATGTTTACCTGTGATAGCCTTTAAGATGACAGTAAACCATCACCTGTGTTTAACATGGTCTCTACCCTTGTAGATTAAGCAAGACTGCTTTTTGTTCTGTGCTTCCCTTTTGGAATTGATCAGCATCTTCCGAACAGCTTGTGACATAATTTGCATTTTTTCTTTGATATAGAATAGCTTGAAATTTAAAAGCAAAGCAGTCTTAAAACAAACAGGGTAGCCAGAGGAATGAATTTCTATCATGGTGAAGGTTGAGTAGAGACTATGGAAAATGCTTCCAATCTGGGCTACGTTTAAATAAACAGACTTGCCCAAGTTAAATGGTTGTAAATGTACAGTAAGGAAGAATGATTTTTCTCTTGTCAATCATCTGTGATCCCAGTAGCTTCTCTTTTCAGATGCAGCATTGCACCTTTGGTTTACCTGTGTGCTAGTGAACCAGAATTCTGTGGTTCCCTTTCTTTCCACAGTCAAGGATGAAGCTTCTGCTGAAGTTATGGAAAGAGCTAATGTTTACTCTTTAGGTAAATTAAAGAAGAGCAACCCCAGATGTCTATGGCAACAAATTTGTCGCTGGATTAAGATTGAAGGCACTTTGCTTTGTATCAAATTGTATATGATTTTCAAGTTTTCATAGAGCAGCAACTGCTAGCTTAGGGATTTTCTCGTGCTAAATGATTGGGTGTGCTCAGAATTGAAGACATAATTTTGAAATAAAGCAATGCTCGGTTGCTATGAGTAATTCCAGCCTTTGTAGTTTTTCTGAATCAATAGAAAGGGCCACCTAAGAGAAGCCACAGGTTGTAGAATATATTATTATAAATTTGAAATGCTAAAGCAGTTCAGTATTTCAAACTTTTACAAATGCTATTTTTGACCAAAGAGATCTCTTTTCTTTCCCTCCCCCATGTTTTTTTATTTATTTAATATAAATTTCCTCTTTGCCAGTTGGCATTTCCCTATGAGTTATATTTAAATTGTTGTTTTCACATTGATGAAGTATAATTCACACAGATTTCAATTTGAGCAACCAGCTATATGCGCTAAATGCATTGTTTGGTACTTGTTTAGCTATAAGTCCAAACAGAAAGCTGATACAATTCATTTTCACCATCTCAGAACAATATGCATTTTTGGAGAGAACATGGTCCAGTGTTCCTTTTGGTGTCCAGTATAGGGTCATTCTAAGCATAGCTCGTTGCTCTCTCAGTAGGAAAAATGGTTCTGTTTTCTTATGCACTGTTCTTCAGAGCACTGTAGCTAACGACCTGATTTCTGTGCTGACAGCTAATTTGTCGGAATGTCAATTGAAGTTTAGTAAACTAGTGGCTGCTGACAGAGCCAGCCACAATGTGTCAAACATTATATTAAAGGTGGCAAAGTGAAAGTCCAATCTGAAAGAAATGTCTGCTGAAAGGATACTGGATATTAGAAGTTTTTTAGGAAGTGTGTGTTCACAAAGCACTTTAATCCCTCTTCACACTGTTTTAGATCTTTGTGCATTAAGACAATGTGTGAGGAGAGAGAGAGAGAGAAAAGGGAACAAAGCCTGCACATGAATGTTGAAAGTAAAGGCAAATTTTCTTTGAACAGTGTTAGCTTCGTGTTGAAAATTATGGATGCTTTATAACAGGAGTCTCCAACCTTGGCATTTTTAAGACTCATGGACTTCAACTCCCAGAATTCCTCAGCCAGCAAAGCTGGAGTTGCAGTCCACGAGTCTTATAGTTGCCAAGGTTGGAGACCCCTGCTTTATAATCATTGTGTCTTGGGTGCATTGGTTTGTATGCACATTCCTGCTCTTTCCTCTCTTGGCCAAGAAAAAGCATACACTCACAATTGCTTTTTCTCTCTTCCCTTCCCTTGCCAAATTGATCCTGGCTGTTCCCAAAGGGGCTGGAACTTCCCTTTGTGCAATATGCATCTTCTAGTTTTTCCAGGAAGGTTATTGAAAGAAAAAATATCCCTTCCCTACTTTAAACGCTTGTTAACCTAGGGGAAAAAATATTTTGGTTTCATCAGGGGAGAGAGAAGATATTTTGTATTTTTATAGGGGTAAGGGTTTTTTTTTTTTTGGAAAATAAAAAGATCTCAAAGATTTTCTCTCTTTGGGTTACCACAATGATGTAAATAATCTAATAAAATATGAACCACTAAGCCAGGGGTCTCCAAACTTGGCAACTTTAAGACTTGTGGACTTCAACTCGCAGAACTCCCAGAATTCCTCAGCCAGCTTTGTGGAGTTGAAGTCCACAAGTCTTAAAGTTGCCAAGTTTGGAGACCCCTGCACTAAGCCTTTGCATAGCAATCCACAATTGCATTCCTGCTGCGTGTCTCTTTAGGTCAGCAGTGCTGAGCTGTATTTATACATGATCTTGGCTTGGCTACAGTGGAATTGTGTTTCATAACTCTGTTGATTGGCATTTAAAAAAAAAAAACCCAAATCCACAGCTTGCTGATCCTGTAGAAAGTGTTTTTAAAATATAGATGGTCTTACTTGAAAATATCTGTACTGTATTGGAATGTGTTAATATTAAACTATTAATTCTTGAAGCAAACTGTGATTAGTTTGAACTATGTACAAGACTCCATCGCTGATTATTTTAAAGAAAGCTTGACTTTGATAGCAAGGAAGATCTGCATCTTTCATAGACACTTAATGTAACTTTATAATAGTTCTATTTTGATATGAACTATTATACTGTATAATAATAATAGACTGGGAGTGCTGAAGTATTTAAAAGGGTGTAATTTCATGTACCTGAAATTACTTTAGTTGATACCAGAAATATTTCTACCTTACAGACTTCAAGACTGTATCTTGAAGTCTTAGTTAAAAGGGCCTTTGTAGCCATCTAGTAATTTACTGATTTTCTATTAGATGGAAATTTCTGTTAATTGACCAGGTTTAACAGATTTTTAAAATGTACATTTTTAGCAGTTCCCATAAAATATTAGGGCACCTGAGAACAGAAAATACAGAAATTTATGTTCAGAATTTTGCACCACTTATAATATCTTTTACACTATCTGTTACTATGCAGTACTAGTTGATCATTCAAAGCCTCTAGGCCGGTGAAGAGGGAAGAGTTGTTGGAAGAATAAACAACTAAAAAAAAAAAATAGAAGAAAAAAACTCCACAACCACTGGAGAACTCTTCCTGCCCTGAGAAACAGTCTCCTAACAAGGCATCATTGCAAATTCCTTCATTCTAGTGAGCTGTAATGCATTTGCCATGTAAGCTAAGGATGTAGGACAAATCACCACTGCCACCTCACCCCGATGCTGCCTCACTCCAGCTGCCTCGCTGAGATGTAACTCACTGTGGGATGAGGGAAACTTCCTCCCCTGTAGCTGATGGGGGGGGGGAGTGGGAGGACAAAGTGGGGAGGGGAAGAGGGAGAGAGTCACATATTTTTCTATGCCCAGGAGTTTATGCCTCAGAGTTCAAGGGGTATTTTGGAGGGAGAAGGAGAAAGAGGTTGCCTTCACCTCTGGCATTTTCCTGTGATGAATTGTCCCACACAACAACCGGCCAGGTCCAGCAACTCGGCTCCAGCGAGTTGTTCCCTTCCATATTCCCTTCCTGAGTTTCCGGAGAAGGACGGCATATAAATCAAACTAATAAATAAATAAATAAATAAATATTATTTATACCATTGGTTTTATTTGCAAGACAGCAACAGTCAGAGGCAGGGAGGTACACAATTCCTTAGAAACTGAAATTCTATTGAAAACTTTTTACAAATTATTTTTTTTAGTAAAGAAGATGTTACTACTTTGTTTCCTAATCAATAATTCTACCATCAATAGATGATTCTCTGTTTCTGAAATTGGTATACTATTTGTTTTCTCTTTCCTGGATTCTGTCTTTCCCCCTCACCCTTCCTCACAGTCACTTGAGAACAACTGGGTAAGATTGAGGGTATTTTTCCTTAGCTATTGGAAGGTTCTAGTGGTCATACTGGGCCATTTAGATGGTTGCTGAAAGGAGTGGTAAATGTTTTGCTTTAACTTTCTTCTGAACCTTTAGAAGCTGGGCTGTCAAGATGCTAGTACCTGGGCCTACTTAAAAGAGGTTACCTTTGACTTATACTGGTTTCCAAGTGCCTGGTCCATTTGTAATTTGCTGGTCCACACTGGATCTGTAACACTTGATTTATTCAGCTTCTCTTTAATCTCACCTCAGCCACTGCCCCATTTCTGCCTATTCCGTTGTCTTCAGTGCCATTCAGCATCACTGCTTAGGCCTTACTGCCACTGCCAGCAATCTTCAGCTTTCTCTACGGTCCTTCCTTTCTTTGCTCTTCTTGTAGTGTTGTTTTCTCTCATCAGCACTAAAGCCAAATCCTTTTTAAAGGTCAGCTTGAACAGTTCAGAAAATCTGAGCCCTTAATAAGTAGGGAACCAAAAGGTGTAAGTGTTCCAATTGCTATATATGCTCAGGGCCGGATTTAGATGAAAAGAGGCCCTAGGCTATTCCACGTATGAGGCCCTTTCACCTATAGTGAAAGTGTAATTTTAATTTTGCTAACAATTTGAATGTAGGCCCCTCTTGATTTTGAGGCCCTAGGCTGAAGCCTAGTTAGCCTATAGGAAAATCCGGCCCTGTATATGCTCCACCATGCCTAATATTTGCATGCATGTCTTCTGTGCTTGATAGACCATATGTAAACAAGTCACAAATTAAAATAACCATTCTGATCTAATCTCCCTGTTCAGTTTGTTTTTATAATCAGGATGATAGGAGTTGTCCATGATCTCTAAGTAACTTTTGAAAATGTGCTGTCCTTTTTCAAGCTATCCACCAGTGTTCACAATGCCATGATGAACAAGCCTTATTTTGTGGGACTCAGGCTGTGCATTTTCATCTGATTCTATTTTCATTTGATATATTTCAAGGTTCCAGTTCCTTCCTTGAACTCTTCCGTTGCTTCTTTTAATGCCTTGTAATATTTCCTTACCAGGTTTCTTCCATAGCAATTTGTCGAACATGAACAACAACAACGACAGTTCAAGGGTAGTACCTTCACCCATGCTTTCCTACTGAGTGCTGGATCTTAACTTTTAATGACATATAACTCTGGCTGACATTTGCTACTTTCATGTTTCTATATCAACTTTTACCATTCCTGTAGATACAGTTTTTACTACGTAGGTCTTCAGCAATATCAGTTAATGTCTAGTTTACAAAATTTGATGACTGATTTTTTTCCTCTCTCTGTGGCATTTAATCTTCACAGATCACTAATTCCACCTTATTTTTCCAGCTATCTGTGATGTCAGTCAGACAGGCACATATTGTACGATTCCAGGGTCACTATTTCACTTTTCCTATCAAGGGCATTAATTTGGTGATTCTCTGTGCTGTGAACTGTCACAATGATTTGTGAATTCACAAATTCAGACCGTCTGCACATACTCAAAGGGTTACTATATTAACAAGAGTGTGAAGAAGTCTCTGCCGCAATAAACAGAGATAAATTTGAAAATGAAATTAATCTCTTTGCTAAGATTTCTATAACCGCCTTTCCTTTCCGATAAATCTGATTGAAAAAACTTCTGATAAATTTGCTTTACCTGTCAAAAGCTTGAGATTGATCCTGGCGACTCTTCTACAACGAAAGCTATATTCTTGTTCTTGACCTGGACCATGCAAATGACTGGGAACAGAAGGGAACACAGAACAGGTCACCAGTACCTCACTTCAACAGGGTCTAGGACTCCGCGGCGGAGGGACTGGGATGGAGGGGCCATGGCCCATGTGCCGGGGTGAAAGCAGGGGTGAAATCCAACAGGTTCTAACAGGTTCTGGAGAACCGGTAGCAGAAATTTTGAGTAGTTTGGAGAACCGGCAAATACCACTTCTGGCTGGCCCCAGAGTGGGGTGGGAATGGAGATTTTGCAGTATCCTTCCCCTGGAATGGGGTGGGAACGGGGATTTTGCAGTATCTTCCCCTATCACACCCACCAAGCCACACCCTACCCACCAAGCCATGCCCACAGAACCAGTAGTAAAAAAATTTGGATTTCAATACTGGGTGAAAGGATGGGGGAGGGCCAGCCGAGGAGAAAAGCTTGTGGATAATAACGCAGAGGCGAAACCCTGGAGGAGAAATAGGCACGGCCAAGGGTACGAACCCGAAAAGTCCCATTCCGGTTCAACATTAGCAATAGGTAGATTCACAAACTAGTCAATTGACTATTGATGTTCCTCAGCTGATGCAGCAATTTGGACAAGCCAGCTATAGCCATTATCAATGCATCTTCTGCCATTTCTGTTCTTTCATTATGCTATTACACCGGGGGGGGGGGCGGCAAATTGAGTGGGAAGGTGGTTTTTATGATATTTTCAGAGTGTGGAAAAGAAGATGGTAGTTTCAAAACTATTATCACAAGCTTGGAATTCTTACATTATTCCATTATCATCAAGAAAGCTCACAGCTAGGTCCCTTCCTGTCCATTAACAAGGATGTGAAGACGGCTCCCATCCTAAGACACCTTTGAGATAATTTAGATACTAAAAGGAAAATACTCACTTGCTAAATTTTGTGTAATATCTTCTGCTCAAGATATCAACATTTCTTTATACAGAGGTCTATAAATTTTGCTTTTGGGAATAATCAGCTGCCAAAAATTTGTAGCTTGCACAGTGAAGATCAGATCCTTTACTTGTACCTTCAAATGTTCATTGCACAAGCCATCAACCTTCCCCTTTATAGATGCCTACTCTTAAATATACTTTCTACTTCTAGGCTGCAGCAATGGCTCTGGGAAAGAGAGAGAAGAGGGGAACTTATTTATTCATTATCTGTGAATAAAGCAGTGGTGGGATTTAGCCGGTTCGTACTGTTTCAAGTGAACCGGTTGTTAAATTACCCAGGATCCACTTGATAGGGGAGGGTGTAATTTAACAACTGGTTCACCCAGGGTCAGGTTGGCTGTCACGGGAGGCTCATCCCACATATGTGGCAGAGCTGGAGGATGGGGATGGGCCATGCCTCCCATGACAGACAACCTGACCCTGAGCGAAACAGTTGTTAAATTATTTGAATCCCACTACTGGAATAAAGCCCTAACATTTCTGGCTTCTATAAGCAAATCAATCAAGGCAACTTTATTTTCCGATGCCTCTCAGCTCTTAATTTATAATAATATTTCCTTCCTAAAATCTTTCACCTGTAGTAGGTTGCTATGCAGCTGTCACGTAGATGCAATACTGCTGTGATAAAAGTAGTTACTTAAATAATGCAGTAAGCAAGCTGTTAGTTCAATATTACTTTGCAAATTCATGTTACTATTGAAGGAACAATAGATTCCACCTGAGATAGTCTAGTATCGTGATGGCGAACCTATGGCATGTGTGCCAGAGGTGGCACATAGAACCCTCTCTGCTAGCATGCGCACCATCGCCCCAGGTCAGATCTCCGTGGTGTTTCTTTCGTGAGCTTCTGTTTCCCTGCAAACAACGAAACAGCTCACGAAAGAAAAAAGATCTTACCTCTTGCCACGCTGCCATGTTGGGATGCCCTGCCTCCTGCCGGCCAGCTGGTGTTC